GTTTTTTGGGGGGGGCTAAAAAAAAAGGGACACGCCCATGCGGCTTTGTGTGACCCCCAATTCCCTTTCAACTTACCCAAGAAGGGGGTACTCTAACAAAACACAACATGTCTGATTTCGATGACACAAAGCACCACGTCTTGTCAGGTTGCATTAGTTTATTTGGGATGCAAAGAGTTTGTTTTTGCACGCTTTTTGGGAGACGTCTTGCGCTTTGCCTGCGCTGGGACTCGATTCAACATGAGGTGCTTGGAACATTCGCGTGGTTTGCGGCGCTCTGCTTGGTTTCATCTTTCTTCTGCCTCCCTTTCCCAACAATTGCAGTGATCCTGTACCACCGAATGATAGAACTTGGGCCAGTGGGTTTCTTGCGGGTCTCACGAGCTTTCTTCAAACATGTCTTTCATCCTGCCGTATATGCACACCTGAGCGTTTTAGTCTTAGGCCTTTTGGCGGTGCTTGGGTCTCTCTTCAACGGAGGGATGCGTGTTGACTGTTTGGCCACAAAATAGACGAATCACGAGCCAGGGGCCGGAATCAGGGCAAAGCCCCAAGCCGTCAACAATCTCCGAGCGCTGTCACTTGGAAGCCATGCCACCCACGTGGAAACAACTGGTGACAGTGAGCAGTCGTCTGTTTTTTGGGGGATTCGCTTGTTTCTGGCCATTCTCCTGATGGCCACAGGCTGAGGTTGACCGCAAATCTTGGCTACCTCTGAATGGGTGTGGGGAGTTGGATGCTCACTGAAAAGGACTTTATAGATTATAAAAACAGAAATCTAAGACACCACCACATTACCGATTTGCAAATGCTCGACGAGGATCTTGGTATCGGAGAAACACACAATGCCATTGCGTATGAACAGTCATCTTTAATGCGCCGCCCTGCCCCCCCCCCCCCACACCCCTAGATGAATAGAATGAGCACGGAACTGGAAGTCGACGGAAGAAATGACGAATACATCCAAATCTCGCACAAGAAGGATGCATCCGATTTCACCGAATTTAGAGGTTTTGCGAGAGCTGGCTCATGCTGCTCACGGCATAACTGTGCACCGTTTCTTGATTGAAAGGCCAAGCATCTGGAAGCATTATGCCTCACCCAGCTCAAGTGATTGGCTGACGATCAAAAGGGCGAATACAGATCTGGCATTGCAACATGCGCCAAATCGAAGATTCTCTGCGGCATGCGCGAAATCCACGATTCCCTTTCCTTCCAACCAGTTTGATCATGAAGTGCTCTTTGACATGGCAAGGAGAACTTTCATTGGTGCTGGATTTCTTCATCCACCGTCGCATTTTGCATGCAATGTGTGTCAATTAAGCCTGCCACATGCGTGCAAGAGGCAAACTGCTTTTGTGGGCCTGGTCATGGTTCCTTCCCTTACACGAGACCCTCTTGACGATTGTTCGACTTCCCTATTCAGGAGTTGATGACCATGCTTGCCAATGCTGGTGTTTTGACCATGGTACATATTGAGATGCGTCAAAGTTGAGGGGTATCCCAAAATGGTTTCGGTGTCCCTCTTAGTTCCCTTCAAACCAAGATAAGTGCTGAAGTGAAAAAGGCACCGGCCTGAAACAAACATATCCGCCGACCCTCTGCCTCCCGTCCCAGCCTCCTGCAGAGCAGACCAACTGGAAGTGATTGGAATCAATGATAGTCCCTGGAAGACACGCCCGAACGCACGAAAAGTGGATTTCTAGGACCGGTCCCGGGACCAGGCGGTCCTGGATTACTTGTAGTCAGCCAAAACCGGTCCTGGGACCAGTCTGGGACCGGTCCTGGGACTGGTCCCGGGACCGATCCTGGCACCGGTCCTGGGACCAGTCCTGGGACCGGTCCTGGGACTGGTCCCGGGACCAGTCCAGGACCGGGGTTTGGTCCTGATACTGGTCCTGCGACCCGTCCCAGCACACCGGTCCTGGACCAGTCCTGGGACCGGTCCTGGGACTGGTCCCGGGACCAGTCGAGGACCGGGGTTTGGTCCTGCTGCTGGTCCTGCAACCCGTCGGTCCTGGCACCGGTCCTGGACCAGGACTGGTCCTGGGACTGCTCCCGGGACCAGTCCAGGACCGGGGTTTGGTCCTGATACTGGTCCTGCAACCCGTCCCAGCACCGGTCCTGGCACCGGTCCTGGGACCAGTCCTGGGACCGGTCCTGGGACTGGTTAGTTTAGGACCGGGGTTTGGTCCTGATACTGGTCCTGCGACCCGTCCCAGCCGGTCCTGGGACCGGTCCTGGGACCGGTCCTGGGACCGGTCCTGGGACCAGGACCGCTTTCAGGACTGAAGCCGGTCCCGGGAGTCCTGCCACCTCAAACCACTCCAGACGCCTTTCCGGACTGGCACCCGTGTTTCAGGACACTGCGCCAGACTGGGACCAGCCTGTCCCGGTCCCTGCCGGCGACCGGTAGGGCAACTTCGGGAGGGCCAGTTTCAGGGCGCTCCCGGGCCAACTCGAAGTGACTTGGGCGCAAAGCCGGCCCAAGCGGTAATTAACGGACTAGCTGCCATATTTCTGACTTTTCCGTTAATCCTTGTTTGTGGTCGTAGAGGATCTTATAAGTGGTCCCTGGGTTTGCGGACGTGTTTCAGGACCGGTCCTTGTGACTTTTCCCTTAATGCGCCGAGGGTCGGCGGCAGCAGGCGGGAGCCTGGTTAATATATATATATATGTGTGCACATGTATGTATGTATATATGTGTGTATATATATATATATAGTTCTTTGTATGTATATCTATATATACATACACGCCATACCCTCCTCCACGCTGCGCCGCCGCTCGTCTGGGCGGCCCCTTCTTCGCCTGCGTAAAAGCCGAAACCCTCCCATCAACACCAACATGGGTCCTTTTGGAGGGTACCCTCTTTTTCGCAAAGGAAACCAAGCCTTTCGGGGGAACTTCCGATTTTTTGAAAGCCGAAGAGAAAAAAAGCCATGCCCACATGGAAGCCGACTGGTGGGTTTCCAGGTGTTCCGAACCGCGGCATGTGTCGAAACCAGCTTGGTTTTGGCCTAGAAATGATTGGGTTCACGTGGATGTCTGCTGTTTCTTTGAAGAGCCGCAGGAAAATAGCACTGTTTTGGCGCAAACCCAATTGAGCACTGCTGGGTCTGCAGAAAACCTGCCCAGGGACCAAAACCGTCACCACCCCCACAAAACCCAGCAAACGAAGCCCCCAACAGGTTTTGCTCTGTGTGCCCCAAACAAAAACAGGCCCAACAACACGTGATTTGAGTGGAGAGCTTTGGTTCCAGCGGCTTTTCGGCCACGTCTGCTTCCAAAACCTCGGCGCTTTTTTGCGCGGCCTGCTCTGCCGGTCCGGCGCGCGCCGGGAGGCGCCTCCGCGCCTTCTGCGGCGGCCTGAGAGATACAGGCTCTGTCTTAAAATAGGGTGCGGATTTACTTTAACTTTTTTCTTCCGGATTCTTTCGGGATTTGTTTTCTCGTTTTTCGTCCGGGCCAGTATGGGGGGACACCCAAAATGAGAGGCTTCCCTTGAAAGCCACGCCATACAGGGCAGCATCGAAAAGACAAATAGCTCATGAATATGCAACATATTGGTGGGCCAAGAGAATGTTGGCAGCAGGTTCCTGACACGAATCAGGGGTCCAACACTATGAATGTAAACTGATGATACAAGCAGGCCCACTTGCGAATCCAGTTGTGCATGAGGGGGTATCTTCTCGAAGTCTCTTGGCACTGTTGGAGACCCACCCAACTCGGACACAAGCCAAGCATGGTAGCCTCCCTGCGGGCCAAACAAGGCGCTTGTACCAAAAGCAACACATGCGTCACGCATCCGAGCCAGGCCGCTGCCACTGTGTTGCCTTAGTAAAGAGCCTGACACCACATCCACATGCCCCCTGCCAAGACACTCGAGTTCCCCACCCCTCCCCCACCAGAAATGACCAGCCCCTCCATGTTGGGAAAATGGCAGTTTGAATATCCTCCTTTTGAGTTTGCCTGAGGAAATCAGAATCCTTGGGTATGAATGTTAATACGGGACCCTTTGGTGAACATCATTTGGGGGATTCATGTCCACCACTTCTGAGATGGTTCCCTTTGAAGATTCACAGCTAGGTGTGTATGTGTGTCTTTTTTGAGGGTGCCCCTTGTTTGGCTTTTTCAAAGGGAAACCACTAGGAAAACCAAAGCCAGTTTGCGGGGGGGGGGGAAGGGGGAAGGGGGGGTGACCCAAAGACACGCCCAGGTGTTCCATCCATCGCCCCCTGTCCCCCACTCTCCCCTCCATCGCCTTCGTCTTTCCCCTGGCCGCGGCCTTCTCTCCGATCGCGGTCCTCCCGCCGTTCAGGGCGGCGCGCCATGCCTAGCCGGCTTGCCGGGTGTGTCTCCAAGGGGGTCCCTCAAAATGCAGGGTTGCCTTTTGGTCTTCCTTCGAAGCCAACCAAAAACAAACAAACAAACAAAAAAACGCTTTTTCGCTCTGGACCAGAGACTCCCGGAAATGTTGAAGGATGAGAACGCAGGGAAACCAGTGGCAAACGTATGTTGTTTGCAACAGCCTTTGGCGTGGGTGTGAGTTTCACTTGGGACCCTGGACATCTACATAGGGGATCTGTCTGCCATCAGCATCCGCCCCGCACGCCTCGATCTCTATCACCCGGGCGGCCATAGCCTTCAGTGGATTCCAGGCTGCATCAAAAACTAGCCGTGGCACCTGGATCTAATGCTCAAGGAGCAAGAAATTAGGGCGAAATCACATTGGACCTTTGAGGCCTTGCTTAAACCTCTTGGTCCCCAGTTGTAGTCTATGTGGTGACAATGCTCAAACTGCGCACGGGAAAAGGCAGGTTCGGGGTCCTGCGGAAGGGGGGTCGAGGGATGCCAATGATTCCCCATAAAGCAACCGACTTGCGAAACAGGCCTTCAGTACGGGTTACGTACCAACCTGAGAAGCCTGGTACATGGCGCCACTTCGCCGCGTTAGCCCAGTTCCGCCCTTAGGGCAAACCGCCCTCAGACTGTGCCATCCTGGGTCCGCGCGGGCAGATCTCCCACGCACACGATCGCGGGGCCCGCCGCCACCGCCGCCGCCACCGCCACCTGCCAAAATGGAAGGCAGGCCTTCAGCGGCAAAGAACACATAAGTCAAGACGGGCAGTGCGTTGTTGCTTGCTTAATGTGGCTGTGGGTCAAAAAAAGGTACCCAACATGGAACCCTGGCAAGTGGCAACATGGACCAAAACCTGTACTCCCCTGGTGGTTTAATTTTGACACACAGCCATATGGTGGGGCTCATGTTGTTTTGCCTGCGCCACGCCCAGCGGCTGCCACAAAAACACCGCATGCTGCATAGGCCTTTGACTCAAAGGGCCCAAGCCGCGCAGGCTGTAGGCGGTCAGATCGATCGGATGTGACAAAGAGCAGGTGCAACCCTTGCTGTTCGCATTCCAAATCTGAGCTTCGTGAGAATGAATTGCACGGGAAAAGGTGGGCAGTCGTTCACGTTGCAGATGGTCCGACCATAGACCAAGCACAAGGTCGTCAATGGCAGCCGCCATCAAGAAGGGGAAGGAAGCATCTGGAATGAGGCGACCATCTGAGAGTTTGATTTGTCTCATGACATGTGCGTTTATGAAAGGGTGAATGATGCGACGCGTTGCCTTGCCGTTGGGATGCTCTGACGCCTTGAGAGTCACAAGCTAGGTGGAACAACACTTGATGGAACTGTGGTGGGCGGAGAAGCGACGGCTCTGTGCACACTGGGATGGTTGTAGCAGTTCCTACTTGGCCCGTGCGGGGCGGAGTGATATGAGGATGTGCAATTGCAAGTCCTGGACTTGTGTCATCATCCTTTCATTGTTCACTCCAGCGGGTTCGTCGAAATTGCGGCATTGCAATTGCACCGCCCATCCGCCGAATGTCACCATCAGAACCTCACTTTACACATATTGTCATTGTTGAGGGTGCCGCTTTTGGAGTGGTGTAAAAGGAAAATCAAACGGAACCCACTGATTTTGGGTTCCCCGATCTAAAGACGCGCCCATATAGAAACTGCCCCTACCCCACCATCCACCGCCAAAACGCGCCTCCGTAGCGGCGCCGGGAGGCGCTGCGGGCCCCCCGGCCCCGCAAGGTCAAGACGGGCCTGGCCGTGCGACTGACAGACCTCAAAAATGGCCTCAACCCACATGGCTGTGGGTCAAAACCAATGGTACTATTTTGGTGTAGGTGCACCAACCATTTTAGTCTATTTTAGTGGGGATTAAATGTTACGGGCTTTTGACCCACAGCCACATGCTTTTAGGTGGCCCCTCCCCCCAACAAAAAAAACGGGGCGTGTCCCAAACAGCCCCGGAACTGGGCCCCTATGGGAAAAAAAACAAAAAAAAAAACTGAAAGCTGAAACCAACCCGAGCTTTCAGCTGTTGGGGAAAAAAAACTAGTTCTAAAAGTTTGCACTGCCCTCTGCGAGACTTCGTGGACGCCCACGCTGGATCAGCAGGTCTTGGGACCGTTTCCAGCCTGTGACCCCGTTTCACTTGTGGATCACTCCCCTGGATGGAGAACATGACTTGCAATCCATGTGGACAAAATCCTGCACTCGATAGCTGATTTCTCCCAGTAGGTTTTCGCCCATCTCAACTGGCACAACATTTTGTCCCATCCAAAGCACCCATTCGGATAGAAGAAATGCCAGAGGGTGCCGCCTCTGAAGTGATCCCTGGAGACCTCCTGTTCCACCTTTAGAGCACCAAGAGAGGAGCACCGCAGAAGTCGCCGAGTGTTGGATACAGTATCCCTTTAAGACATGTGCGAAAGACTGCAAAACGCAGAACAAAAAGCATGAGCTCTGCGTGGGCACGATTCACGATATCAGGCTCAAGGGCAGAGCCTGGACTGGCGCCAATCGGTGGCAAAGTCGGGCATAAACAGGGCTCCTCACCTTCTTTCTATATCAGCTGGTGTTTGATTGGTTGGACGTGTTCTCGAGAAACCCTGATAACCTCTCCCCTTGCGCCAGCCCAACCCGCCCCACTCTCCCCTTCAGCCCGCAGCGCCTGCGGTTCCGCATGCTGCGGCTCCGGGTCCGCCGGCGCCGGAAGTCCCGGCGCTCGGGCGGGCCCCTAGGCCTGTGATTCGCTGCGCGCCAGGGGCGCGCGCGCCAGGGGCCAGGGGCGCGCGCGAGGTGGGCGTGGGTCAAACTCTGGGAACCCAAACGTCGGCTTCGGTTGGACCCGAAACGCAGTGTCCCTGAAAAAACCGAGGCGAGTGGGGTGAGCAACCAAGGAGTTTGGGCGGAAATGGACATGGTCACTGCAAGTGTCTTTGGCTTCGTTGGCGAAGGCGAAAGCGACTTTCGGCAACCGTGCTGGGCATCCCACTTAAGAAACATGTGGCAAGTCTCTGGCACAACCACGACAAGTCACCATGTGGGGTGTCCCTGTTTTAGGGAACCCCTCCCCCCCAAAAAAAAAAGAAAAGGAAAGATGTGGTGGTTTTCCTTTTGGTGTTCGCTTAAAACCACCC